ATCAAAGTTATATCCACTCCAGCAACATGATTTGCATGAAACAGTGCGGGACACTTCATGCAAGCATGTATATCATTTAGATGTCTCAGGAGGTGAATGTTTACATAGGAATGCAAACCCAAACTTACCTTTTGCTCAAGAAGCACTCTCTCTCATTTGGTATGGCTGCAAGTTTTGAATCTCAAGCAGAAGGCAAAACTTGACCGATTTCTAGAACTCTGTCTTTCTGAACATATTGTGCAATTCAAAGCTTGGGCAAATAATTCAGGAAAGAGTATAATAAAGGCACAGCTGGCTTGACCAGATGCTGCAGTGAATGTTGACTCCTCAAACTTGCCAAGAGAGATCCATTTGGGAGGGGAAATTTGAGAAAAGCAGCCTGTTCTAATTAAATACTACCAACTTTGTAATGCCTTTGGAGAGCTCCATTGGATTTCTTAGACTGACATAATATGCAGAAAGGAATTTAGAACTTCACATCCTGGTGATTGGAAGATATATAGACGCAATGAGCGCAGAACTCCGCCTGTGATATTATTAAAACGTGGCTAGCTTTCAATATGCACTTTGGCATTGTTAGTCACCTGTATTTATAGACAATCAAACAATGGAAATATAAATGTGATCCAAGATCACTTCTGACATGGTTAGATTCAGAATTACACCTGTTACAATTGCCAGACATCTCTATTATCTACAGATTCTCTAATTCTTCTGTGGCAAACATAAATAAGTGCCAAATCAGTCAGTGTGTGAACTGTGATTATGAACTTAAACCAAGATTACCAATGCATTCCTCCATTGAAAAATGGCTGATGGAGGCAGATTGAATTCTGGCTTTCAAAAGGGATTTGATAAGCACCAGAATGGAAAGAATTTCCTACAGGATAAGGCTGGGGCAGTGGGACTAGCAAAATTGTTCTTGGAGAGCTGGCATGTCCCTCACTGTGTTGTTATGTTATGGGTTAAATATTATGGGTTGCTTGTCAATGAACTGTAGGATGTGTGAGATGCATCCTGGATAATGACTCCCAATTTATATATTTAGTATAATTAACTGGACAACACTCGGGTTTGGGTTGGTAAATATCAGGCAACATGTGCTAGGTACTAATCATCTCCAATCAGAATCTAACCATCTCTCCTTGTCATGCAATGGTATTGCCATCAATCTGTCCATCTACTATCTATATCTTGGGACTTACTATTGATCTGGAACAACCACAGAAATACTGCAACAGCCAATCAGAGACTGGGAATTCTGTGCCAAGTAATCCCTCTCCCAACTTCCCAAAGTCTTTTAACTTATATTTCAGCACGGTGTGAAAGAATATGTTTGCTTGAATGAGCTTGGCTCCAACAACACTCAAAGCTGAATATTATCCAAGACAACACATTATGCCGCCTTCAGTGTTCACTCCCTCCATCATTAGTCAATACGCTTCATATTAAAAAAAACCACTACAGCAAATCAACAAGCCTTTTTTTGCCAACACCTTCCAAACCCATGATCTCTAATAGTAGAAGGGTCTGGGCAACAGCTACTTCAGAGCATCACCACTTCCAATTTCCTCTCAGAGTTGCACACCAGCCTGACTTGGAAGTATATCACTGGTTCTTCACTGTCCTAGGTCAAGAACTAAGAACTCCCCCTCAAACGTCAGTGTGTGTGCACTTTACCAGATGGACTGTTGTGGTCAAGGAGACAGTTCAGTGCCAATTCAACAGTAAGTAGGGGTGGGCAACAGATGCTGGTCTTGACAGGGATGCTTACATCCAAATAAACAAAATAAAAATGGACTGTGGTAAAATATACTCGGAACATTTTTTGTTTGCTTGAAGGTTTTGACAACTGTAAAGATTAGTGCTGCGCAAATCCACAGCTTAGCTTCAGCCTTATGGTAACATGAGTTTACTGTACAACAAATGAACCATTTATCTTTTCAACATGTTGAATTTCCTTTAAAGAAACCTCTGCCAAAAAGACAGATTTAGAGAATTTATGGAAACATTGCAGCCACAGTGACTCGGTATAAAGCAGTGTGATCAGAACATTCAGATGTAATATTCCATAAAATAAAATCCTATATCTATTGAACACTTCTACAGCACTGGAAACTAGCAATAAAACAAAGTGCAGTTAACTCAGTTAAATCCACTTTGGTGCAAAGTTACGGCGTACTCTGAATCTAAATGCTGTTACAGTTGAGAGATTTACTGGTTGGATAAGTTGATCTTTCCAGTCCAGAGAACAGCTGACTTCAATTGACATGAATGGGTTCACTGCTGTAACACCTTGCGGAATTGTTCACCGAAGCTGGGAGAAATGAGACTGAATGCAACTGCTGATTCGGCAGGGCCTGCCACTAATCAGCTAGATTGCTGACTGAGACGGTGACCCTGAGCCTAGCCATTCTTTGATAAATTCATTGTGGTGTAGATAACCAGATTCGTAGTGCAATATAATCACTGATTAACCTAATTGACTGGTTACAACCCTCGCTTTTGTATACTGACACCATCTGGCAGAACTGCAATTTAACAGGCACAATGTCAATTGTGTAAAACAAACTTATTCAGTGTGGCTATCTTTTACGTATGACAACAGTTAACATTTCAATGAATTCACAGGGCACAAATGATACAAGTTATACTGGCTAACTTGATTTTTCTTATTTTCCATATCAAATTTCTTTTAATTTGTTACCAGCCTTTCCAGTTGGACAGGAACAGGATGACCACTACATCCTTGTGCATGGCTGAGGGAATGTCTATTTGTGTGTCCTTCAGCTCCTTCTAGTTCTGAGTTCCGATTCCATGCATTAATTTAGCTGTGGGGTTTTGGGGAGGCGTTGCGGTCAGGAAGATAATGTATTAGGCTTTGGTGAGGGAAGGGAACAATGTTGGATTCTTGGTGCTGTGAATTGAAATGTTGACTACTCACCATTCTATTTCTTGAAGTGAAACTTGGGACCAAATTAAAATTGGCGATTTTAAGTTAAGAAATTACTGAGCTTTGTTGTGTCCCACATGTATTGCTGCAGCAGATGCTCATTTTGTACATGATTGATTCGTGTTGGTCACTTAAAGCGTGCACAAGCTGATGATTTCATTTATCTTTCTTTTGCAAAAATGTATTATTTGAGTGTGTAATGCATAAATGTAGCTGATTCCCTCAAGGTCTAACACTGGAAAATTACAACTCCTGTCTCAGGTATTATACTCATTACTGTCTTTAATGTTGTGAAGAAAATAAACGTGGCCAGAAGCGCACGTCCTAGTGGAATACTGAAGTAGACGTAACTCAATTCACAAAGATATTTGAAAACATAAAAATTAATTTCACCTCAATCATAGTCCTGCAAAACATTTGTGATATGGATATTTCCAGAGAAATGGAAGGCAGAATCCAATTGAGATTGGAGAGCATACTTTGGAAATAATGGCTAGGTTTTTAAAAACCTATCTAGAGCCAGATTATTATAGAAACCCCATTATAAACTATAGGACTATAATGCAAGCAGCATATCCTTGTATTCAAGTGGAATATTTTTAATGTAGTACAATGAAGGACTAAGTGAATAATAGTTAGTGATGGCAGAATACAATAGATGGAGCAAAGTGATTCCTCAACAAACAGATCAGAGTAATGCTCTACTTGTAGTCCTGCTGCATCCACTAATGAACGGTGTTAGTCAATTAAACAACTAACCCAGGAGGGAGGTTTCATGGACATCGGTGCAAAAGACAAGGCTAAAGCATTTGTAAACATGTTTGACCAGAAATGCAAAGTTGGCTTCTGCCTTCTCCAGTCATCTTCTGTATCACATGTTAGCTGCCAATTCAGTTTACTCCAATTTATTCTGAAGATTGGTGCTTTAGAACTAGCCATGCCCTGAGTCAAATTATTCTTGTACAGTCAGCATAGTGGTGGAAGATGTTATTGATACTGTTATCAGGTGACAAAGAAACTAGAAACAGGAGTAGACCATTAAGCCCTTTGTGCCTGCTCCATTATTCAATATGAGCATGGCTGATTCCCAATTTCATTTATGCTAACTCTCTGCTGATCAGTGGTTAGCAGGAGTGGCATGGTGGCTCAGTGGTTAGCACAGCCGCCTCACGGCGCCAAGGACCTGGCTCCAATTCCACCCTCGGGCAACTGTCTATGTGGAGATTGCATGTTCTCCCCGTGTCTGCGTGGGTTTCTACCAGGTGCTCATGTTTCCTCCCACAGCACAAAGATGTGTAGGTAAGATGGATTAGCCATGCTATATTGCCCATAATGTTCAGGGATGTATAGGTTGGGCGCATTAACAATGAGAAATGCAGGGTTACAGAGAAAAGGTAGGGAGATGTGTGGTAGCTCTTCAGTGTGGACTTGTTGGGCCAAATGGCCTATTTCCAGACTGTAGGGATTCCGTGATTCTGTGAAATCTTCTAACCAAGTAAATATGCTATTTCCCTGCACCATGAGCTTTTAGTTTCTGCAATAATCTTTGTAGTACTTTATCAAATATCTTCTGGAAATCTAAGTACAGTACATCCAGCATCTCTCCTTTATCCATAATACTGTTATTTCCTGAAAGAATTCTGATTAGATTAATTAAGCATGATTTCCACAGTGTAAAACGATGTTGACTCTGCCTGTCAACCTTGAACTTCTGAGTGTCCTGCTATAACTTCTTTAATAGCTCCTAACATTTTTCCTTTAACAGCCGGCAGGCTAACTAGCCTATAGTGTAAAAAAAACTGCAGTAATGTACACCATACATAATCAAGTTATTTTGGAAGGTAATATATGAATATCGATGAAACCTAAAATGAAATGTTTGATTTTCTGAAGAACGGTCTAGACCCAAAACGTCAGCTTTCCTGCTCCTCTGATGCTGCTTGGCCTGCTGTGTTCATCCAGCTCTACACCTTGTTATCTGAAATGTTTGATAGATGTTTTATAAGATTTCCAAATTTCACAATCAATTGTAATTTCATTCTTTTAGATGGATGGAAACATGCCTACATGAAGAATTACCGCCTACCACAGAGCTTGAAGAAGGATTGAGAAATGGTGTCTATCTTCTCAAACTTGCAAAGTTCTTTGCTCCCAAATTAGTCTCTGACAGAAAGATCTATGACATTGAACAAACAAGATTCAAGGTACTTGAATAGTTTATCATTATGGTATGTTGACAAGATACCACAGCACACCTGAGCAACTGTCCTTTTACCATGGTTTATGATGGTTCTCAAATTGGGGTGTTTTGGGGAGTCTGAGGCACAGAACTGACCTTACATGTCCGCAACATTGGCACTCTGTCCAGGATGCCATGGTTAAGAATAAGCCCAAGTAAGTGGTGGCTAATGGTGTACTGTGCTCCTATTCTCCCCTGTACATTTTTAGTGCTCTCTCAGTACTCCTGTTCTTTTGGAGTTTGTTTTCTTTGTGTTCTGGCCTCCCTGTGCTTTTGCCCTCCCCTTGTTATAGAGTCATACAGTATGGGAACAGTCCCTTCAGTCCAACTCGTCCATGCTGACCAAGTTTCCCAGACTCAATCAGTCCCGTTTGCCTGTGTTTGGCTTCTATCCCCCTAAACCTTTCCTGTTCAGTCAAAGATAGTGGAGTCATGCCTTTTAAAAAAAAGTCACTAACATTGACAACCTTTCAATACTTCAGTAAATGACCATTCTTTGGAAAGTTTTGACAAATTGACCAATCATTTTTGTTTCACATAGCACATAGCTGAACCTTTTAATGCTGACCATTAGATGTGTTAACATTGTCTGAAACTTGTTTGTCTCTCCCTTTTTCCTTTTACTTCTCAACCATCCATCCCTTTTCAAAATGTAAGCTAGGTGCTTTGAAACCATTTGTAGTAGTCATTGAATGTCATAGTTGAGGTTACTTCCAGACAGAAATTAAATTTGATCAAGTTTTGGTCTGTTTTGCTGATATAGTACATTTAACTCTGCCATTCACGTCTCCGTTGCAATTCAAAATATGTTTTAATGCAAGCATCTTGAATTTTCTTTTCAAATTCTGAAGTGTAATCAATCACTTGTACTCACTGTATCAAATGGACCTGTTGCTTATTCTGAAACTTTTTGCCAGTTCCTTGCTCAATGATGCATTAGTAATGCTTGATTTACAGGCTTAAAACTGTCTGATTCAAATTTAGATGCTGCTTGTTAATTTTTTTTCTTCCTCCCAGCCGTGTATTAAGCAAAAAAATGAGTTGTTATCACTATGAAATGCATGAAGGGTCAGAGAAGGAATGAGACTTCCCTGCAATGCCAAGTGATGTGATGATCAGCTGTTTCAGTTCATTTTTTATCTCGTGTTTGCAGAAAAGAAAAGAATGCCTTGCCATGCATATTTTTAAAAAAGCAGTACCCATTTAAGGCCCAGCATCACTTTGAATTAGACCTCCATTACTAACTGGCTTATGATCATGCTGAGCTGCTTTCCAGTTCAATGAATAACCGCTTTCAAAGTACAGTTTTCTCAAGGCTTTAAACAGTTGCTTCTTTGAGGGTAATTTTGACAAAAAAGTTAATATTTGAAACAGTTGGTTGGTGTGGCTTTCTTCAGTGTAACAGGCTTACTAAGAAAACATCTGGTTATTCTCTATTCATTGAACTTACCTTGAGTTGATTTAGGTGTTGTGGGAAAAGGTGGTTACTGCTTAGGATAACAAAATCATATATAAAAGGACATTGCAATGGTCAAACAATGACATCAATGGTGCAGAAATGTCCTGAACAGAGATGATTCATTTCCAACAACCACAGTCAGCTTCTTTTGTGCCAGGTATGACTAATCAGCCGGGAAATTTCTTCAATTCCCATTGATTCCAGTTTTGCTATGGCACCTTGATACCACACTTGGTCAAATGCTGCTTGATATCAAGGGCTGTCACTCTCACCTCACCTCTGGAATTCAGCTCTTTTGTCCATGTTTGAAGCAAGAATGTAATGAAGTCAGGAGCTGAGATCGTGTGTCAGATCCCAACTGAGCATCCAGGAGCAGCTTATTTTTGAGCAATTGCTGCTTGACAGCACTGTCAACAACACCGCCTATCATTTTACAGATGAGTGAAGGTAGCCTGATGGGCAGTAATCGGCCATGAGAGATTTGACTTTCTTTTACAAACAGAACATACTTGGGGTAATTTCCATGTTTGATAGATGCCAGTGTTTTAACTGTGCTAGAGCTGCTTGGTTCGGGATATAGCTAATTCCAGAGCACAAATCTTCAGTACTATTGCTGGAATGTTATAAGGTCCCATAGCCATTGCATTATTCAGCCCTTGAACTATTTCTTGCTATCGCATGGAGTGAATCAATTTAAATGAATGTTAGATGAAATCTGTAATGGTGGGACCTCAAGAGGCTGAGATGAATTGTCTATGTGGGACTTGGATAGTGTAGAGCGTGCTCCCCCCTCCAAGTCATGAATGCAGATTGTAAGTAATAGAGGCCCTAGGGCTGACCCTGGTCGAACTCCACTATTAGCATCTTCCAAGCTGAAGGAGACCAATTAATCCTAACTCTGCCTTCTGTGTGTTAACCAACCCTCAGTCCATGCTAGTGTATTATCCACAATACTGTGAGTTCCCATCTTGTGCAATAGTCTGTTATGCATTGCCTTGTCGATTGTCTTCTGAAAATCCCAATACACTATCTCTGTTGCTTCCCCTTTATCAATTTTGCTTGTTATATCCCCTCAGAACTCTGGAAAATTTGTAAAATGTAATTTCTCTTTTGTTTAATTGTGTTCAGCTTTTCCAAATGTCCCATTTCTTCCTTAATAATAGATTTGAGCATTTTCCCAATGACAAATGTTAGGCTAACTGGCCTAGAGTTTCCAATTTTTGTCTTCCTTCCTCCCTTGAACATGGATGTTGCATTTACAATTTTCCAATCTGCTGAAGCCCTTGGATATCCAGCGATTTCTGGAATATTTCAACCAGGGGTGCCTCCACTTTCTTTAAAATCTTTGGATCTGGGTCATCAAGTACTCGTGAATAGCCTGCCTTTAGTCCCAATAGTTGGTCAAATACTTTGTCCCTCATGATAGGGACTGTTTCAAGATATTTTCTGCCATTAGTAACTTGCTTCTTTGTTATTTTTGGAATGTGTCTTGTGTTCTCCACCGTGAAGACTGACACAAAATACTGGTTTAAGTTATTTGCCATTTCCCAGTTCCCAATTGCACCCTCCAAACATTTGTTTCATTTTATGTACCTGTTGAAGCTCTTTATATTTATTTTCATTTGTTGACAATTTACTTTCATAATGTTTTCACACTCTTCATTAGATTTTTAGTCATCCTTTGTTGGTTTAAAAAAAATTCCCAACTGTCTGGCCTGCTATTAGATTTTGCTGGTTTGTATGCTTTAGTTTTTGATTGGATGCTCTTCTTGACCATATTTGTTAACTGCAGTAGAGTTTCTGACTATAGTAAATTTTTGCTGAACATTATGAGATATCTGCTTTAATGTCTACCACTGCCTTTCTCCTTTGTCTATTTTCCCAGCCTGCTTTAGCCAACAATTTCTTCACACTTCTGTTATGGCCCTTATTTAAGTTGAGGACACTAGTTTGAGATCCAAGTTGTTTTCCCTCAGAGTTTGAAATTCTACCACATTGTCATCACTACCCCTAGATGATCCTTAACTGAAAGATTTCTTATTTAATCCTACTTCATTACAAGTTACTGGATTTGAAATCTACCTGTTCCCACGTAGGTGCTGCAACATAGTGCTTCAGTTCTTCGGGCATTTTAGAAATTTATCTTCAGTGTCACCCTTTCCTATCTAACTTGTCTTGTTAACATGCACATTGAAATCTAATGGTGGCATTTGAGTGACTTAGCAAATTAGGCTGAAGGACTCCAGATATGGTCTCACCAAACCTTGAACAGTTGCAGTAAGACTTCCCTACTGTTACACTCCAACCCTTTGAAATAAGAGTTAACATTCCATTAGCCTTCCCGATTATCCACTGCACCTGTGTGCTAGCTTTGTGTTTCGTGCACAAGTACTCCCAAGTCCCTTTGTGTTGCATTTTTCTGCAGTTTTACGCTATTTAAATAATACTCATTTTTGTTTGTGACTGCTTGCCATTTCCTTATTCACATTTACCATAAGCCCAGTGTCTGGTTTTAAAGATTTACCATGGCCTCATTTAATGCGATATTATTTTGATAGCTAAATAATAAACAGCTGAATAATTCAGTCATTCTTGTGATACCTAGTTTCAATCAAATGTGTAATAAGGCAGAGCAGAAATTTTCCAAGGTCTTGTGATGCAGGGACCCGGTTACAATTTTTTATGATTGTGCAGCACAGCTAAGCTAAAGAAATATCAAATGTGATCTTTCATAAAAGCCAGAAGCTGCAATGAAAAGGGAGATGTTCCTGAATCTGCATGACACACTTTTTTGATGCAGACATTTGGGCCAGAGAGTCAATCTGACAGAGCTTGAACAACACTTGCCTCAAAGTGAAATAGAACTGAGTGTTTAGTAAGTTGGAAGCCCTGTTAGTGGTCTGATTCTTAGAGAGGTGGTAGCTAAACCAAAGCACTTCTTGAACAGGCTATGTAAATCAGGGTGGAAATGATTTGATGAAGCAAAGTTTGCATATCCCCTCAAAGAGAGGTACATAGCTTATGGTAACTTTGTAATAATACTATTTATTAACTATTTCCATTATAAGCGATAACAGCTTCCTGACTCAAAATAATGTAGATTTCTGGCCCATCTTCAATTATCTCCAACTTCTCCATTGCCTAAATGATTTTGAAAGTGAATTGAATGAATGTGTTGAGTTTTGCTGACATTTTCCAGCACCTACCTTGATTGGGCGCTGTCTGTCAACTGCATTGCTGCATTTCTTTGTTTCAGGCATAGTTAAGGTTCTGTTTTCTGAGTTAAAGTGTTAACGTTTTGTTACCTGTCCCCCTACAGGGAAGTGGAAGAAGAAGCACAAAACTTGAGATCTAATTTAAAAATTTGCAAGGAGCATTAATCACATACTTCTGAGCACTTTAATTTGTGATAAATTTTTGCAGTAGGTTTTCTAAATGTTGGCAAGAGGATGTACACATTCCCTAGCAGTCAGTGCTACAAAATATATTCATTGAGCCAAGCATTTAGGGCTTGAAAATTTTTAAAAAATCAATTGTATCAAAGCATTGAAAATGCAGAAAGCATTTTTGAACTAACAATGTATTGGTTTATATGCATTGTGACCTTTTTGTATATCTGTAAGACTTTGCTCTTTCTGTTTTAGAACTGTGAAACATCACATTTCCTTTCAAAACTATTGCCAAACACAGTCACCTAGCACACATTACATCCAAATTCCATGACTCCCATTCTGTTAAGTGTGGGAAACTCTACTGTAGTGCCATTAAAAACTCAAAACCATTGCAACCCCAACACCAATCCTGTGGCACCACTCACTTCTGAAACTACTCAGCTCTTCCCATTTGATAGCAAAGCAGCCAAACTGGGCAAATGTTGCATAAATCTTGTTGTGCATTCTGAGAGAGAAAAGGAGCAACAGAGGAAATTGAATGTACATCTAAAAGTAGATAATCAAGGCCACTGAATAGCAGGATAAATGGTTGGCATTAGAAAACTCTAGTGATCGTAGATCAGTAGCTTCGGTTAAGGTGTTATCTGCTGTTTGGTATAAGACCAAATACCTCCGTTGTGAAACAGCAAGGCTCTGGATTCTTGTTGAGCAGTGCGACAGGATCTTAATAATAGCAAAAAAAAACAATAAAAATAGGCAGATATTGTTCACTAAAAATCATAGCTGATCCAGTAAAACGGTTATTACAGTCAAAAGACCATACCTCATGTTTACATATTTCATCAGACTTTGTGCAAATTTCTTGTCGTTGACTGCATTTATCAACCAGCAAATCCAGATGCACAGGTCTTCAGCAGCTTCTCCTAACATTTGTGTAAATTTGCTTCCTTTTTGTTTTTGAAGGTATTTTCTAACCTGTTTTTGTTTCAAATTGGTAAATCCTCTTAAAAATTTTTAATACAATTAAGTCGGGTCAGATAGCTCATGTAGCAACTATACAAAAATATTATGTTATCACGGTTTAGCGGAGACATTGCAGATGATTTCATTCCTTATGCACTATGAGCTACATATTGCTTTTCTGCTTGAATTGAATTCTGTTCTTTGCTGTTTAATATATTTCCAGTGTAATGTTATTCTGATTATGTTCAAAGATGATGATCACATGATTGCACAGGCAAGCTAAATTACTGAGATAAGTCAAAATGGGAACTTTTTACTGCATTCGGTTCTTTCTGATGGTTGATGCAGAATATCTTGAGCCTTTGAAGCACGCTGGACTTAGAGCTAGTAAAGTGCATACATTAGTGAATAACATTAAACATGCAAAGATTTACCAAGAAAGTATTGAGAGTTCAAATAATGACTATTTTAATACAATAACATTTTCCTTTTCTTCTTGTGCCAAAGCGTTCTGGACTACATTTCCGACACACTGACAATACAGTGCAGTGGCTCAGAGCAATGGATTCAGTTGGATTACCCAAGGTAATTGTTTTAGTGCGAGTCTTCATTTTGATCTATAACATTTACTTTTTTTTTCCATGTGTAGAGGTCCTTTGTGTCAATTAACTTCTGTTCTGATGCTTTTAGCACACATCTTTTATTAAGTATTGAACTGTTGATCAAATCAAAGTATTGAGTGATAGAATTCGAGGATATTTAGCTACAATTACATGAAGTTGTATCTTAAAGTGCTTTCAGTCACCACCCACACTATAGGATGTGATGATTCAGTCTGTAAGCAGTGGGAGTTCAGGTTAGATGTAATATACTTGGCCTCCTAGCTAACTGCTACCTGTTTAAAGTCTTCAAATAAAGAAATTGTTATTTTTTTTGTCAATCCTTGTACATGATTTGATACTTTTATGTTGAAGAGAAGAAGACTGAAACAGTAGCTGGAAAGAAACTATTTCCTTTGTTGGACAAATTTGGAATGATGTATCTTTAAAATAAGAGCTAGCTTGTTCAGGATGGTATTAGGAGACATATCTTCACATAAGGTATGATCTGGAACTCTGTCCCCAAAAAAAACTGTAGCTACATCAAATGATAGTTTAAGAACTGAAGTAAATTTGTGTTGAGTAGGTATACTACAGGGTACAGGACTAACCTAGGAAACCAGCCTACTTTGTTTTCTTTGTTATTGTTAGCTTTTCCCATTATAAATGCCTAATTCACATCTACAATAGAAACTGATTGTATAAAGTGTCAGTCAGAAATGATACTTTCTTGTTATTGGTGCCTTTGTTCTCAGTCCACAAGACCACGAGATGTCAGAGCAGAAACAAACCATTCAGTCCAAAATGCCTGATTTGCATCTACAATGGAAACTGATCCCTCTAAACCCTTCTTATCCATGTACCTGTCCAAATGCCTTTTAAATGTTGTTATTGTACCCGCATATACCACTTTTTTTGGCAGCTTGTTCCATATATGCACCACCCTCTGTGTGAAAATGTTGCCCCTCGGGTCTCTTTTTTTTAAAATCTTTCCCCTCTGACCTTAAATCCATTCCCTCTAGTTTTGGACTCCTCTACCCTGGGGAAAAGACCTTGGAAAATCACCTTATCTAAGCCTGTCTTGATTCTATAAATCTCCATAAGGCCACCCCTCCGCCTCTGACACAACAAGCAAAAACGTCCCAGCCTATCCAGCCTCTCCTTATAACTCAAACCTTCCAGTCTCGGTAACAGCCTTTGTAAATTTTTTTTGCATTCTTTCCAGTTTAATAACAACCTTTCTGAAGGTTGATGCAGAATATCTTGAGCCTTTGAAGCACGCTAGACTTAGAGCTAGTAAAGTGCATACAATAGTGAATAACATTTAAACATGCAGAGATTTACCAAGAAAGTATTTAGAGTTCAAATACTTAAATAGTAACTATTTTAATACAATAACATTTTCCTTTTCTTCTTGGACCAAAGTGTTCTGGTCTACATTTCCAAGTGACTAGAGTAGTACGCAGTACTTCAAAAGTGTCCTCACTAATGTCTTGTCCAGCCATATTGTCTGAAATCCTATACTCCGTGCTCTGACCGATGAAAGCGAGTGTACCAAAGGCCTTCTTAACCACCCTGTCTACCTGTGACACCACTTTCAGGGAACTATGTACCTGCGCCCCTAGGTCTCCCTGTTTGAAAACACGCCCCAGAGCCCTACCATTAATTGTGTAAGTCCTGCTCTGGCCTGTCTTACCAAGATGCAACACCTCGTATTTATTTGAATTAAATCTCTCTTGCCTCTTATTCTTCTAAAATGCAATGGGTACAGGCCCTACTCAACCTCTCCTCATAAGACAGTCCCTTCATATTGTCGTATTAGCCTAGTGAGCCTTCTCTGGACTGCCTCCAATGTCATTATTTTCAAAAAAAGTGTCCAAAACTATTCACAGTATTCCAGCTCTGATCTGACTAATCCCTTGTATAGTTTCAGCAAAGTCTGTCTGTTTTTATACTCCATTCCTCTTGAAATAAAGGCCAACATTCCATTGCCTTCCCTATTGCTGAGCTTGGATGCTAGCTCTTTGCGATTCATGGACAAGGACTGCTCTGTAACTTGCTGCAGTCTTTCTCCAATTAAATAATATTCAGCTTCTCTATTCTGCCTGCCAAAATGCACAATCTCACATTTTCCCACATTTTCCCACATTATATTCCACGTTGACAAATGTTTTTACCCACTCTCTTAAGCTGGCTATATCCCTCTGCGCACTGAGTCATTCGCGCTTTTGGAATTCCCACCTATTTTTGTGTCATTTGCAAACTTGGCTATTGTAGATTCACTTGCCACATCCAAGTCATTAATGTATATTTTAAGTAATCCAACACTGATCCCTCAGCACTCCGCTAGTTCCAGGTTGCCAGCTGACTAGCTTCACACAGTATCTCATTTGGACTCCTCAGAGAAACATTGCAGCCCCAAAGCTTGAAGGTAAGGCATACTCCAGTGCAATTTGCAAAACTAAATCTTCATGTTTCCTTAATAAAATAAAATTAAATGTCTGGACCCATCACGCTACCTTCTCTATGCGTGAATACTCAGATAATTAACTTTTAACTTTTCCATACTCTTGTCTGCCCACATTGGGATTATATTCATTGGAATTCAGAAGATGGAGTGGGGATCTTATAGAAACATATAAAATTATGAAGGGAATAGATAAGATCGAAGTAGAGAGGATATTTCCACTGGCAGGTGAAGCTAGGACAAGAGGGCATAGCCTCAAGATTAGAGGGAGCAGATATAGGACTGAATTGAGAAGGAACTTCTTCACCCAGAGGGTTGTTAATCTATGGAATTCCTTGCCCAGTGAAGTAGTTGACGCTACTTCAGTAAACGTTTTTAAAGATAAGGTAGATTTTTTTTGAACAATAAAGGAATTAAGGAATACGGTGAGAACACGGGTAAGTGGATCTGAGTCCACGAAAAGATCAGCCATGATCTTAATGAATGGCGCAGCAGGCTCGAAGGGCCGGATGGCCTACTCCTGCTCCTAGTTCTTATGTTCTTATCTGTTGCCATGAGATTTATTGGAAGTAACTTACACCCAATTTATTTCTAATTTTATATTTCTTCAGTTATTTCTTCCCTTATTTATTCAAAATGACCTCTCATACTTTCACTTCAATGGAAGTCAAGTTTTGAAACTTTGCCTAATGGGCAGAGGAAAACATGTACATCATTCCAGTATCCCAGGGTTCCCTAATGATCATATAAATACAAGAACACCGCTAACTTGCCCAACAAGCCTGCCTTCCTCTTGATGCTGTGATCATTATTACTAGATACTGCCTCACTTCCCTCCCATATAGCGATGTGTACTAGAACACATACAATTTCAATCATTTATTTAAATATTCTACATGCAATGCATCCCAGATCTGAGACTTGACTTTGCTTAATGCTTTCAGACTGCCCATCATCTGTTGGTTGGTTTCATCTATTTTCCTTAGAATCATTTGTTACATTATCAGCATTGACTCAATTGATTAGTTCCTTTCCTTTCCACTTATCCCTTTCTTATAACTCATCAGTAGTTAATATATCAACCTTTGGTTTTCAGTCAAAATATCAGACATCCTATGTAGTTGATAATGGGCATGGGATGGCTGAAGTCATGGTTGTGGAATTTGGCTCCCAGGTTTCAGGCCATTCCTCACGACTGGCTATGTAGAAGTGGCCCAAATGGACTAAATCCAGATCCGTTTGGTTGTTAATAAAACAGATGGCAAGTCTTGTGATCCTCTGGCTTCAAATCAATGACTGGCTTTCTTTTCTTAACTTAAAAATGTTATTGTTTTGAATCTAAAGGGAGGAATGATTCTTGAAGCGTATTGTATTAATGGGCAAAATACATTTTGTTTAAATGCACACAACTATGCTGAATATTGATCAAAATCAGTTAAAAAGTTGTTATTTCCTAACATTTTGAGTTGAGCTCCTTCTGGACTTGAAATGTTAATTCTGTTAATTCTGCTTACTCTTAATGGATACTGCCAGATCTGCTGAGTTTCTGCAGAAATTTCTGTTTTTGTTAGTTTCTGATCTCCAGTATCTGCAGTTTTTTGTTCTATTTTTACATATTATTTAGTGTTGCCTCCTCCAGATAGATCTATTGTAATGTTTTAAGCACGTGAAATGAAATTTTCAGACCTTCTATGCAAGTAAAAATCTTTTTAAACTTCCATTATCAACATGGTCCGACTATCAGCACCTGACCAGAACAAAACAAAAAGTTAGTTACTGAAAAGAGCTGCATTCTGGATGGCATGTAGACTCATCTTTTCAAACATTTCTCAGCAATGGTAGGAAGGCCTTCATTATATCTGTCATTTGATCCTCACTTGCTTACAAAGGAAGACTTTGATATATAAAAGTATAAAAGCTGTCACTTCTCAGGAATGTCTCATGATTTACAAAAGAACTTGTGTGAGACGAGAGTTTTTCTTTCTTTAATTAAAGAAAAGAATGCTCCCTGGTGTCGGGATCCAACAAAGTATATTGCAATGCCACTGAAGTGGGCTTTCTCAGCAGTGATCATGTGAAGAGCTCCCTCTTTAAAGAATGAATCAAATACTGTAATTGCCAGTTGCACTCTATTCACAATTAGTGTTTCAGTGTAACTCAGTATCCTGAATAAAAGTTGTTATTTGTATTAAAAGGGGATATTAGTTTTTCTTGGGAGGGGAGAGGTGGCCAAGTTAGGAGGAGGGCAGGAAATTGAATACTCTTCAAACTACAGTATGCTGCTACAAAACAGCAGTACTTTATTTCAAGGATCCATGTCTATTACCAGAAATAAAGCTTTATCTCAGTGTAATACCAACGTCACCACTTGTGACTGCAGATCTATTCTTCTGATTGGAGACCTCGAGATGATGGGTTACCATTAGTTAGCCCTGCAACTGTTAATTTCTCAGGCCAAAAAAAAATTTGAATATATTTTTGGTGAGAGAGGGTTACTTTGATTGTTCGTACATCACCTT